TCCTCTTGAGTGAACTGATCTTGTAAATGCTGATAGCAATCTGGAAAACACTATGACAGCCCCTCGTAGTGAGACTTTCAAATTTCCACTGAATATAGCATGACGTATTTCTGGCAATACATCATAAAGGGATATATGCTTTTTATATGTATGGCAAGAACTCCTACTGAAGAAGGAAATCTAGATGTAGCCTCGTATTCAGTCTCTGAATTCCTACTGCACCTTCCAGAAAGTGATCGAACCCCCAGGTTACAGATAAAGGATGTGCAGCTGAGGTGAAGATGCAGATTTGGTGCAGTTTTGCACAACAGGCGTGGCCCTTTGTCCACACAGAAGATGGATGTGCCTTGCCATTCCATCTTGGTCAGATTCTACGGCCCTAAGCTCAGCTTTGGCTCAGTTGTGTGAAGTGCCACTGAGCCAGAGCAAGGATCCAAGGCAGGGTGAGGTGCAAGTACTACACCAAGAGGCTATCAAGGATAAGAAGATGTGAACATTATTTATGTTGTGATAATTGTCAGTAACTGCTTTTTATCTTACCCTGTATATGAAGTAGCTCCCTTCTCTCTGTCTGAGAGACTCAACCTCTTTGAACTGTCTCATTTTCCACAAGGTGAATCTATGGTATGCACACAAGAAGCTGCTGCAGTGCAGCTGACACGCCGTAACCTGGATTTCTGTGCCATATCCCTTCACCAGACTGCAGCAATCACAAGGGCAATTGTATGTCACAGGGGTTGGCAGTAAAATTTTCTTTACTACAGTTTTTTTCTTCCCCTCCTCTTGAAGCTGTATTGGTATGCAAAAGGAAAGGAGTCGAGAATAAGAGAGAAGTTGAGCTTGACTTGGAGTGAGAGCACTCTACAGGGAAGTGAAAACGAGGCTTGAGTTCTTCTGAAAAAAGTTTGGGACCCAGGGTTTCTGGTTCTTGAGTGCTGTTTCACTCCTAACAACTGTGTGCTCTGCCACAGAGAAAGGCTTGCTCCTGCCTGGAAAGCTGCTGCCTGGCCAGCACTTCCCACGAGGAAGGCTGTAGGACTCTGGATCCAGTGATAGTGATGTCTGCTTTGTAGCATTTGGGAAATCACCCAAATTCCTGATGCATCAGCATTTAATACTTCTTATTGCCAAAACTAGTGACATCTAGGTGTTTAATTTGTTTTCAATCCAAGTCCCTGAAGTGCCCAGTTCTCTGTAGGTATTGCAGTGAGTCTGTTCAGACAACACGGGATTTGGAGCCCAGTCTATATTGAACTGGGCTAGGTTTAATCTCATTTCTTAGGTTTCTTGAACATAATGCTTGGAATTAAAATGTAATTTCCTTCCTGTGCAATGTTTTCCACATCATTTTGCTTGCACTTCTGCATAATTAACATCTAGTAATCTAAAAAGGGAAGAACCAGGATGCATTTAGTCATGTGCCCCAAAGTAGGCACATTCATTCTTCAGATTGTCTGCATACCAAGAATGCCGTACTTCCTCACAAAAAAAGGATTTCTTAATCCTCAGTTCTAAACCATTTATGACTTCTCATGTTGCAAACCTAATAATAGTCTCTAGAGCTATGTAAAAGTCTTCTAAGTAAATAAATGTTGGAGTTCTATACAGGACTAGTATGTTTAGTTACCTTGTACATGTCTGGCTTTATACTGATTTAAATACAAGTATTGAGTCATAGTGGAAAATGAAAAAATTACTCATGTGATGTCTGTGTTCACTCCCAGGTCTGTATTATATTTATTGATTTTGGAAAAATGCAGAATGTTTGCAATCTACTCATTGAAAAGTTAGGAACCGCTGTTACCATCAGTCCACCTCATTTCTACCATACACCAGAAGCCATAGACACCCTTCGGTAAGTTCTCTCACACACCACAAACTTTACAGCCTCAGTTAATATAAGTACATAATTTATGCTTTAAATGGGAGCAAATAATTTCCTTCACATTTATTAAAATTTATGTTCAAAGATTTCAGCATTTGTTTTAAGTATAACTTTTAAATTAATGCTGTTCAGCCCAGAAGATAGAGCTAGGTGAAAAAGCAGAATGTAATAAAAAATATTCTCCCACTGATTTCCACTGGAAGTATAATCTTCTGTGAATGGTAGGTCAACAGAATTTGGCTTTGGTTCCATCAGCGTGTGTAGATTTAATTTGTATTTATTCATTAAGGTGCAAGTGTGTTACCAGAGGTTGATAATTCTAAGTACCCTTGCCAATTCCCATTACTCTTAGCGAGCTGGAAAGAACCAGGTCTGGTATTTCCTCAGCATCAAAACATGCTGCCCTGTAGCTCTTGATCTTGACATGTTTTAGACATTGACTATTCAAAGTCTGGCTTCTCCCATTGACATGGTGGGGGCAGAAGGAAGTTTAATCTTGGTTGGGATTTCTTCTTGAAAAAAAATTATGCTTGGTCCAAGAAGCAAGCTCATTTAGCTGCTCTTAATGGTTCTGGAGGTGTCAAAAGTGTATGTCAGAGGTATGTACACAGGAGATCAGGGAATCAGGCCTGTGGGGTTAAGCAGGTGCTAGTATGCCTGGCAGTTGGGCCACTGCAATGCTTGGAGCGAGAGATGAACTTTTGCTCTGCATGACACAGCAGGGATGCCTGCAGGATACAGGTGTTAGAAGTGCTTGATTGGAATTGGTGAGCATGCTGACATTTTCTCCACACTCAGTGCCCTCAAATGCCCAAGCTGTGACCCAGAAGCTGGGGGGAGGTGCCGTGCCTTAACATGTATGCAGTTGCACAAAAAGGCTCGGCAGGAACACTTGTACATCAGTTGGCCCTGCTTGTTATTGTGCTGCTGCTTCTACCTCTCAGCCGTCAAGTATGTCTTGCTGCTGTTGGAAACACAGGGCAGAAAGCTCGTGACGTCTGTCGAGTGTTTGGCCAGTCGTTGGGAAAACCTTTGCTGATAAAAGAAGAAGAAACAAAAGAATGGGGAGGCCACATGGACAGTCACCTGCCACGCTCTCCTGATTCACTGACTCTGCAGGAAAGAATCCAAAATGCTACTGCTTATGCATCTTCCAGAGTGTTTGCTGTGTTTGAGATAAAGGGAAAAGAAAGTAGAAGAAAGAAGTTGCTGTAGAAACTTTCAAATCCTATGCATTTTCTTAATAAAATTTTTATGCTTTCATGAGTTTTTTGTTGTTTTTTACTTTATTCTTATGGCAGCTCTGTCCCCTAAAATTAAGGTTACAATTGTTTCTGTAAGTGCAGTTCACAACTGCTTATCTTATTCCTCTGGCCCCTGTAAAACAGCAAGATATTTGATGCACACAACCTTTGGTACTCCTGGCTGAAACTGGGCTACATTTATGCCTTTCCTCCCAAATCTCTAAAGAAATTAATCCCCACCCTGAGTCATGGTAAACTGAACATGCAGTGTGTTCACTTCTAACAAAATTGAGTGTTCAACATAAAAAGTGCTTAGGAATGTTTTATTTCGTCATAGGAAAAATTATACATTTTATCCTGGTGTCTGTTTGCTCAAGTTTAAAAAGGACATCTGTTGTCTGGATGTACATTACATGTACAGACACTGAAGTACTCCGTCATGAGGATAGAGTTTTTTCAACCATGGCTGCATGATGTATTTTGATCCATCATATCCTCTGAAGTAGGTTTCCATATCAGGGTGATGCACCTGAGAAAAAAAGAAGAATCAGAATTGGCAATAAATACAATCTGATACTTAAATAAATCATTGAAGTTGCTACAGTTAACTTTTCAAAAACTCCTAATGAATTTCTCATGTACATAGAGATAACTTCAATGGGATTTTCCATGCACCTTAACCTAATTTCTTTCATCGGAACAGCAGCTTTCTTCAAGTACTCTGCCAGTGTTGAACATACTGCATGAGATGTCACATGCTAGATTTGCACCAGCATCAGTGTTTAAAATCAACACTGGTTCTTACTGAAGTAGTTCCCACCTGTGTTGCTGTTAGAACTATTTGTTATTTCTTTTAGCTGGATCAGTTACCTAATCCATTGAGGCAGCAGGAACATAAAAAAGCAGTGGGGGAAATGGTGAAGACACACAAGGTGATGGCCTTGACTACTGCAATGTCCAGCATGAAGATGCAAACCCACATAGGGCAACCCAAGTTACAAGCCTGGTCGTGATGCAGGAAGCCCACAGTGAACAGCTGAGGACTAACTGGGAAAGAGTTATGACAAGTCTGAGCGTTTTCTGATCACTCATCTCTTCAGGAAATTACTGTGCCTATTAGGCTGTAGGAAAGGCTGAGTGAGGGCAATCCACAGATCTTTTGAACTTGAGGTATAAGCATGACTCACAATCCATAATTAATCTCAGCTAGACAACTTTAAAATACCTGGTATTGTGAGCTTTTTACCATCAATTCCCCTAATAATCTGCGTGGAGAATTGACCTGCCGTGCAGGTGAATAGAGCAATCTGATATCTTAAAGGCTAGTTTCTGCAAGGTGAATATTTAAGATAAGGTATTTGTTTCTCCCCATGGAATATAAAGGAAACTGAAGGTAGCCAGCTGACTGACATAATGAAAGGTTATTTTTTTAGACACAGAGTAGGCAGAATCCAATTTTAAATACTTAGGACACTCAGGTAGGATGGCATCGTTTCAGCTTCTAAGTTCATGCATGTTAACACATTTTGTGTATCAATGGTGGCTAAAACAGAAGGACTGAACTAAGGCTTCTCCCAAATAAAAGAGGTAATTGTGTCACACTGTGATTGAGGGGGGATCCTTTATGTGCAGCAGTTCCAAGAGAGAGCATGGAGAGTCTTTAGGCCAGCCTGACTTACATGATTCCTTCTGCATCTCCCAAAATGCAGAAGATGCCAATTCGTATCTCCTCTGACTAGACCGAGCATCTCCTGTTAGATGAATGATTTATCTACTTGCTGTCATTTTAAAGACAGACACTAACCACAATTTAAAAGAAGGCACCACAGCAGCCAGGGCTTCCTGGCAAAAAGTCACTTGTATGTGGCATGCATACCTGAAGGCTGTTTTCTGGATAAAAATCTCAAAACTAATTTAAAAATCCGGTGTGCATTGCATAAGATGGAAATCAAAAGCTACTCTAACCCTGATACGCAAAGCAGATTTTTTTGGCTCCCAAAGAGTTTTGCAGTTAAGAAAGGAGATACTCTTTGGTCTGGGCAGCAGCTGAGCAGGAGCTGTTTGAAATGCAGATTTTTCAGAGAAGAATTGAGAAACCAACATACTTTGGTAGATCCAGCAAAAATCCTAAAACAAAAGTGTGTGTCTGCAACAGCCTGTACATAACAGAAATCAAATTGCTAAAACACTTACAAAACTCAGCAGTTGGATAGTGGGTAGTACTTGAGTTTGGTCATTTTTCAGTTTCCAAGAACCCATGCTTAACAGTACAGCAGTAATTTGTTTATCTGCTTTCTCTATTAGTTTTCACTAACTTTGCAACCTAGTAGTATCTATTAAGCCAAAGGTCATCCAACTTTTTAAACGTACAGGATAACAATCAAGTTGCAACTGAATAAAAAATAAATACCATCTCTAATCCCATAATAATTGTTATCTCTTCCTCGGGAACATAAGCTGTAGATTTGCCAAATCCATTTGCTTTGTTAATTAGAATTCAATAGTGAGGAGTATTTTTTATATCCTGTAAAAATAGAAAGAAAATAAATAGCCTCTAAGAGAGATGCTGACTAGAGATTACATATTATAATCAGTTAACTCTCAGTAGGCTTCCAAAACCTAAATCCACTTGATATATACATATAACCAGTTCATTTTTGTTATTTTACCAGTGTCAGTTTGGAAAATTAAATATAAAGCAATCAGAACTGCAATACACAAAATTTTTGCCATATCTGAAACATTTTTTAAGAGTCAAGATTTTAATTAACCTTTTGTCCTGCAGACCTTGTAGTATCCCTGCTTTTTGTATGTAGGTCCCGTGACAATCTCTTATGACCCTTCTTCCTTCACAAGTGGCAACACAACTCTAGAGAGGAAGAGGCAAATTCGGAACATAATGCCACCTCCAACAACTGTGGTCCCCATCCTGGAGACAGCTAAGGCAACTTCTATGTGTGGATATATATAAATATTCCACCAAAGAAGTACCTATGAAAACAAATCCTGGTCCAAGGTCCCACCATGTTCATTGCTATCCATAAACATTCCTGCCCAAAGTAACCCAGAATCCAAACACAAAAAAGTGATGGATGAATACAGACAGCTGGAGTTTATGAAGCAGTCAGTATTGATCAGTGTGACAGGCAGTGGCCTCTGCTCAGCAGTTTAGTAAAGATGTGGAAGTCAGAGGAGGGCAAGCAAAAGCTGAGCTGAAAGCCTGGCTGATGTTTCAAGGGAATTTGCAAGGACCAAGCTTAGTAATTGCCACCTAGATGTCAGAAGGCATTTTGCATAGTAACGTGATAAGTAAAGGCAATTAAAAATACCAAAGCCAACAAAAGATACACTTAAACCACGTGCCATTGGTATTGAAATTGAAATAAGGATGAACACAAGGACACTGGGAGAGCAGAACAATATATGGTACCTAAAAAAGAATAGGAGTGTCTGCTGGGAAATTCTTGGGAGTTCAGCTGTTGACAATGCCACTGAGAGGAAAAAAGAAAGCAAGGATGCAGGTGTTTTAGGAGCCAAAGATGAGCAACAGTTGGATAAAATAACAGCAGTGATGGAACCAGATGCACAAAACAGGACTGAATATCTGTTCCCACCTGAACATGAATTCTCTACTACAGGCAAAGGTTTTCATTTTTTCCCCATTTTCAGGAAATTTCCTCATGATTAGTGTCTTCCTGCCACTTAAGCAGCATGTCAGTGGCATACAGAGTATGCAGCACTGTATTACCAGATCAGCACTGTCAACAAAGATTTACCATCTGATTTTCAAGTACAAAAAGTACTTAGGCTAGAGAAATTCAAAAGCTTCAAGAATTCTAACAAAAATGTGTTTTTAAATAGGTTTTCACTCCAAGTATCCAGCCAACTGAAACTGATTAAACACAGACAATTACTTGCACTTCTTGGGTGCAATGAAGATGTCACCAGTTATGGATGATCATATAAAAGATTTAACATCCTCTCAACTTTAGTAGCACAGCACAAGAAATCCATTCAGACATAATAGGTTGACACTGCTACTTTAAATACAGCCTGTGTATTAAAAGTGAGTCATTCTAATTTATGTCCAGTAAAATCCTGACCAGTGAAGCTTATCCAGTCAGTGGTGTAAAGCCAAGCTCTACTGGGACCACAGCACAGAAGCAGTGGAGATACCGCTCAGCTGCACAGGTGATATGGGACTCTGGAGTATTTCCCAATAGGATAGCAGGAAGGAAGTCTGAAACTATTTCCAAGGGCTTTTTTAACCTGAGTTATTCTATGTTTGTATTAGTAAATCAAGAGTTTAGTACATTCAAACCTGTTTCCTTGGAGGATATTTGGGTTGAAGCCATTTTTCTGGAGTGTCAGCTTTTATATCCCATCCGACAATGACTCCTGAATAGCCAAATCTTTTGTGACTTATTACCTGTCCCACATGGAACTGACCATATTCAGGCCTTGGACTATGAAGTTGAGTTGATCCTAATTTAACAAAGAAAGAGACTTAACAAGGATAAGAGTTTGATCAAGTTATATTAAACATTTAAACAGAAATTCTTCTGACTTCTACCGGCAGAGAACTGACAAGGTGAACTAAAGGAAAACAGGTACTTTGTTTTCTCCCCCAGAATATTACTATGATATTTGAGAAAGCAGCATGCACTAAGGAAGGCGTTTTTCTATTTGTATGCCTTTGATGTTACATAGGGGACTTAACAGAGTTTTGGAAAGCATTAAAGGTGTGTGCGTTTGACAATTACTTAAGCCTTATGTACAGTATTTTACAGTGCTTACACACGGTAACTGCTTGTGACATTAGTTTTTTCCAGGTTAGGTCACAGAATTCTTCTATTCAGTCTGAGTGCAGGGAACTTTTTTCCAGGAACAGACTGGTCAGTTGTTTCTTTTATGAAATTGATCTAAAGCAGTTAGTGTATGAATCAAGTGAAAGCTGTACCACTGTTCATATGTCACTGCAAAATAGAGACACAGATGTATTCAGTAACATAGATACATGTAATATATCATATTGTACTGATACACAACATGGGGTAAAGGCCTTGGGTTTTGATAACTCATGTTTAGAGAGAAGGGAAAAGAAAAAAAAATACTACAATTTACAAACTAAGTACAGAAATCTACTATAGCAGACCTTATAGACAATGATATCACAAGCAAGATCCAAAAGGACTGAGAAGACTCCAATATCTGCAAAATAAGAACGGGGGTTGCTTCATTGTCACCACTTTCAGTTTTCTCCATAGTACCAATTCCTGAGATGTAAAATTAATAACCCAACTTTCAAATAAGGTCTTTAGAAACCGAGTGTCAGTAATAATCAGAAGGCCAATTATCCTATCTTAGGTGTTTGTATGAAGAGAGGAATAGTGCAAAGCCTTCGACACAAACTTCTTCACAATTTGAAGCCTGCGTAAGTGTTTTACATTGAAACTACGTTTAAGGAATACAAAAGAAAAAAGACTTTGTTCCAACAGGAAAAAATATGAATCTAATTTCTTTCAATATGTAACTCTACAGTTGCATTAGAATTTCTGTGTTGGAGGAAAGAAACCCACTTATTTTATAGAGGTGAGCAAATACTATTCTGAATTCTAACAGAGTGATTCTTCAGTATCTTTTGTAAAATCTTAAAAAATTGGCTAACACTGGTATGGACAAGGTATGTGGCTGTGAGTCCCAGCTTAAGGCTGCAGTAAGTAGAGCTTTTCCTTCTGCACTAGACTGAATTTCATCTGAATTTAAAGGGCGGGGGCTAGGGAGGGATGTCTTTAGAAAGGGGAAATGGCTTACCTTTTTCATTGCTATTGTGAAAAAGAGAAAGGGTAAAGAAACAATGAGCAAACTGAACATTTACAGGGTGGGAAGCTTTCAAACACTCCTTCTGCAGACAATGTAACAGCATCAGTCTATGAGCAGAGGTGTTTGGGTTAACATTCTCCACCTATGCTAGCCAGCAACCTGTTGGTGCCAGAGAACTAGAGGCTGTCCTGGTCTCCTTCCTCTTTGATGGTGTCCACCACTGTCCCTCTTTCAGTCTGACTCCCTTTACCCTGCCTGGAAGGAAGTGAACTCAGATTCTGTAACTGTGCAAACAATATTCTTTTGAAAAGTTCTGGTTTAGCTCAGATGTGTAGGAAAACTTAAGATTGACAAATACCTTTTAACAGAAAGAGAAATGGGCAAATAGCTTCACTAGTCCAACTGTGTTATTAAAAACAGCAGCTAGTATAGTAGGTTTGGAAAGTCTCAAATGCCATTATTTCTTATTTATAAGATATTCAGAAGATAAGCAGCTCCAACTCTATAGTAATCAAAGGATCATTTGGTCTTTATCTTTAGCTTTCCACAGAATTGCAAAGCAATATATGGTGAACCTAAGAAGAGCAGAGTTTCTGTTTCCAGTCTTTGACTGTTCCCCCAGGTTTTGCTGGGAGCAAAACTAAGTCTGGATCCTTCACAGTTCGGAGAACTTGACACCCTTGATTATTGTACATGGATCAATAATAAAGGATCTTTGAAGGTCCAGACAAGGTAAACCCTGTGGAGTATTTCTACTGTACATGAATTCAATTTCACAAATAAACTGTTCAGACTCCCAAAAGAAGTCCATGAACAGTCTTCCTAAATTAAAATGGTACGTATATATAAATTGATGTAATTTTATTTTTTCTAGACCAACTCATTGTCACATGACAAATAATCAAGATTCCCCTTCCTCTTAAACTCACAAATTTTCCACCTGTATTTCCTCATTCAATTTCAAGTTTTCTTGAACTACCATATAGTGCATAAGACATCCATCCAATGTGGTAGAATCTGATCCCACGAACATGTAGCTGCTTACAAACATTAATATGGTTAGTCATCCTGACTTCAGTCAGATAAACCTAGAGGAAAGAATGTGTAGAATTACCGCCATGATTTACGTTTAGTTTCACATGGAGTTCAAATTTTGATGTTTGTGCAGAAAATAGGCACAAGGTTTTCAAGTTCTAAATCAGGCTCAACAAGCAAATGAGAGATGCTTCCTCTCTGTCATTTTGTTCCCCAGATCATACCTTCCTGTTAAGAAGAAATCATGTATGTAACACACTACCTTGTCTTCGATTGCCACAGCTTTAAATGATTTGACCACATGTCCAAAGTCAAGTAAGATCTTGTAGAGCAGCTCCAAGAGGCAGTTATCCTTTAGTAGTAAAAATTATCATCATAATGGTTTTAAAACCTTCTCTAGTATTTTCTTTTATAGCTTTTTAATATTTAAACTTTAAGGCTTCTGTAGCAAACAGGAAAAAAAAGTCAGTGACTAGGAACAGGTTCTCCTCAAGATTAATATCAAGATTGCAAATGAATATTCTCTCAATCATCACTTGTACCAGTAAACCATATGTAAATTTTAGAAAATACCATTTTTCATTATGAGGTTTCCTGTTTCCTCTACTCAGACCATAGGAATTGCTAAATTGCATCAGACTCTGCAGTTTCAACTGTTACTTGAGAAGAGTGAACATCACCCATTCAAAAAATGGTGCACGTAATCAAAAGACTTAAAAAGAGCTTACGTGTTTTTGCATACATTGAAATAGTAAGTAGTTGACTCATGCCATGAGGCCTGAAAATTATTTGACTCTGGATCTTTACACACAAAGCCAGGCTTAGTTCTTTTTTTCATCAGGCCAGTCTTTTGCTCTTATTACTTCGTGTATTTGAGTTCCACAGATGAACTACACAGACAGTGCACTGCACAGGCCGCACTGTTAAAACTAAGTCTCTCTTTGCATGGTTCATTTTCAAGATACCAGTGTTCGTCGATGGTAACCACTATCAAAAATTTGGATCTGATGTAATATTCTCCACTTTAGATGTGTGAGATTCTGTCAATACTTAAGTTCTTAATTCATATACAAAATGGCACTCCTTACTTAATTCTATCATTGTGGGTGCCTGAAGTAATTCACTATGAATAAATGTTGTTGGTTAAGAGTCTATACTGAGTCATACTATGCAAGAACATCTGTATGTGTCAAAAAGTGATGGAAAATTAGAAATAGTGTTACTCATCAAACGCTTCATTTTCCCCTTTTGAAAGGGACATAACCCACAGGAACGCATATTGGAATATCCAGAGCAGAATGAAATTAAGGCATAGTCATGCACTCAGATTGCACAGATTTTTGTGGGAAAAAATAACGGTTGCTATTCAAATTTGAAGGACATCGTTAAACAACTAAATACAGTTCCATTAAGCCACAAAAATGTCTGAGGTATGATTTGAATGTTGCTTTGGGATAGGAATAGCCAATGTGTCCCACCCACACTCCAGCTTTCCAGGACAAAGGGTCATTGGGGATGAGAAAGAGAATGGTCTGATAAATAAATGCAGTAGGGAAGGAGACTCTTACAACCTCTCTATTATTTGGACGCGTTCAACAGAGTCGGTTCCATACCACTGGGATATGAAATACTGTGCAGGAAGAGCAAACAGCAGCATGGAAACTCACAGAGCTGCAACTGCATTGATGTGAGCCATTCCAACAGGAAGTTTCTTCTAAGACACTTCCCTGCTCCCTACTCTAAAAAGAGGAAAAAAAAAAGAAAAAAGAACGTACATAGCTGTGAGCATTACTAGCTGTGTAGTAGATAAAAGTGTCCTTCAGATTGTTTTGTTGATTCATAACATAGTATACGATCTGTACTCAACCATTTCAGTTACAGCCAGAGCACACCTAAATTAGGCCCATTTAACGGCATTAAATCTGAGGGTACTAATAAAAATTAATAGAAGACCAGAACAGACAGTTTCACAAGACCAAGAAAGTGAAAATCTGCTTTTAAAAGTTACACAGACATCTTTAATCTTTAAACAAAACAAACAAACAAAAAAGAAAAATGAAACTGGGAATTTGTATGGTTGCCTGATTTGCAGTAAAAAACTGTTCTCTGTGAGCAAAATTCATTGTGCTGCTTTGTCATCTAATTAGGTGTATTAAACACGTCTGACATACCGGATTGATGGCCTCAAGAATAGTCTATTTAGATTCAGTGATTATTGTGCATCTGACAGAACTAAGGGATATTTCTTTCAGACTGAAGGCACACATAGCATGCCAAGTTGATAGCATGTGCCACAGTCCCATCACTAGATTAGAAAAGGATTTGACGTTGCCATTCATTCCACAGGCACATGCCACGCCATAGCTGTGTATTAAGATATTCATGACTCTTCCTTCTTCCACATCAAATTAAGGTATTCACCTTCACCCGAGGAGCACATTTACTGTCTTTTTAAGTCTGTGAGGCTTTTTCAAATCAGAACTAAGACTTGCTGAAATTTGAGACTCATCTCTTTTACACTGGTGTTCTCAGAGTGTGCAGGTTTACTGCAACATTCAGTCATCTACACCTACTCTGTTCTCCAGGAGTGGCTGTTACAGCTCCTACTCTCTACTCTAGTGCAGTCCTCAGCCGGCAAGCACCAACAATTCATTTCAGTTGTGTCTGAGCTGCTTCTAGTTCCTGCCATCCTAATTTATGTCATTTACAAAATAATTTGGGTTACTGTAATAGACACAGCACGTGTGCACATGAAAAGTTAGATTTATGAAAACAGCCTGGCAAAAGTAGTTCAGATCACAAGGCAATGCCAAAGGAGGCCCAAAGAATATTGTAAGGAGTATGAAAACATCTGTGTGTGTGATGAAGCATTACCACAAACTATATCTTTCACTTCTGCATCACCTACTTTAGAGCCAGCAGCAAAGAAAAACAACTAATTTTAGACATCATCAGTAGTTGTACATGTAGAGGAGTCGTTTACCCTTGTACATCGAGGGGGGTGGGGAGGAAGAGGCACAAATTAGTTCAACCAAATACCCCTGCTAGACCAGAGGGCTGGACAGGACCCTCGGGTATCGCTGCCGCATCGCCCAGGGCACTTACACAGCACGACCATACGACTTCTGCCGCTGCAGGTCTTCCGCCTGTTTCTAAAATCAGCTTTTTGAGCGGCCTGATCCACCAGACAGAAAGAACGCGGTAGCAGATGTAGCGTTATCCCGGACCGAGAACCCCGCAGAAATAAAATACTTCCGTGCACATTCCAAGCACTCGGAGACCCGTCGGATGCGCGCTGTGCCTGTGCCCCCAGCTGGGGTCGGGCCGCAGCGCCCCTGTCCCGGCTCTGCACGGCCCCAGAGCACTCTCCTTCCCGGACCCTCCTTCCCGGAGGCACCGGCAGCGCGGCCCGGCCCGGCCCGTCCCGCGGCGCAGCTCCAGACGGAGGGGATGCCCGCGGCAGGTGGTGCCGCTGGGGAGCGGCTGGACGGGCTCGTACCCTCCTCTGTATAAAGGTGTGAACACTCGAAATGAACCCGGAGTGGCAAGTGCGGAGCCTGAGGCCCGACCTGGGCTCTCAGCCCAGGGGTTTGTCCCCTTCTCTCGTCTTTCCATCGCATAAGAAAGCTCCCAGGGCAGATGGGATCAGGATTTCATATTCTCAAAATGCAACAAACAGCTGGATGGACTTCACACCCTGACGGATTTAAAGAGATTATAAATAAAAAAATAAAAAGTTCTAATTTATTTCTGCAGGCTCACCTGAAGTAAATGATACTTTCAACTTCCTTATGTAAGTATTTTTCCTGTGAGGGTGGACAAGCACCGTGAACCTTCCCTGAACAGAAGTCCAGAGGAAGCTCTCTCACGGGAAGTTTATGCAAAATGTGTCCTAACACAAAGCTGTAACCCAAGCTCACGGCGTGCCTCTCACCACCCTGTTGGTGGCCTCTGGGCCCGGCTTTGTCACAGATGGATGAAGGCACAGCTGAAACAGAAGTCTCTGTGTGGTTTCAATAGTGCTCATGTCACTGCCCAGCAGAAACTCTGGGCCTGCCACTGCTGGGCTGCTGCAGCGGGGCTCAGAGCCCATCAGTGAATCTCCTCTGAATCACGGATTTCTTTGGTGTAAATTCAACAGCAATCAGATTTGTTTGATGATCCCCAGTCAGAGTGGGAGCAAACAGAAGAGGCAGACTCAAACTGCAAATGATCCAGCGAGATGAGAGCAAAGGGAACATTACAGATAAGGAGGGAAATTCAGCAGTAGCAAATGTCAAGCCTTACCAAGAGAGGAAATGTTCCATCCATCACTTCTCACTTACTCAGCACAGCTCTGTGAAGAGCAATACTGTGAAAAAAACCCCAATGTTATCAAGCTGTACTTGGTGATCATGTGGGAACTAAGTGGCCAGGCTTAAGGTTTTGTTTGTTGATGGATTTAAACCTGTGCAACATGGCAGGAATGCCCAGGTTGAAAGCACAGGAGTACTGGCCTAGACTAGAAATACAAATTTTACCTAAGAAAACAAGTTTTTTCATCATGGAGCCATAGAATAGTTTGAGTTGGAAGGGACCTTTTTAGGGTCATCTAGTCCAACTGCCCTGCAATGAGCAGTGCCATCTTCAGCTAGATCAGGTTGCTCAGAGCAATCTATTTGCGCTGCACAGCCCATCCCAAGGAGAAGACTCTTTGGGGCCATCGTGGCTGTTTGCATCACACCAGCCCAGGCTGCAGCAAATAGAGGGACTTTAACTGCTCCCTTGGGCAAAATGCCAGGAGCCACATCAACACCTGATCCTACCTCAGGGAGGCTGAGGGTTTCAAAGCGTGCCTCAAGCAACTTATTACTATCCAAACACTAAGATGCCTTTCAAAAATACAAAGTAAATCTGACTGCAAGACCAAGATGCTTCTGTTACAAAACAGGTTACTCCCCATGTGCTTGAGCAGAGAAGAGGCCAAAGCCAGAGGAAAATTACATCATAAATTAGCATGCAAGAATTAAAGACCCAACCTTGACGATGAGACAACTTCAGGCGACTTGCCGTTTCACAAGACAAAGGTTATGTGAACTTTCTAACAATTTTTCCCAAATAATTTAACCTCTCATTTCCCTTGTAACTTTATCCGACGGAAGAGTTTATTTAGTATTAGCACTCATTTTACAACATCAAACCCTTTAAAAGCATTAAATGGCATGAAAGTTTTGAGTTCTGGATATTTAATCATTCCCCGTGTACTTGTGCATTCAGAGTAACAGATGTCAGTGAAGGACAGTGGTACAGACTGCACATACACCCAACTCCTCATGTTGAGATTCTAGCTGGGTAAAAAACAGCAGTGTATTGAGAGGCAATCACTAATCAATGACTTTTATGTAACTCTTTTTTTGTTTCAAGTTTTTGACAGCTGTATTCCATTACTTAGCAGTTTATGGAAGCTTACACCACCTTCCTTAATGATAAAGAGAATTCAAATTTCGAATGAAGTGCTTGAATTCCAGAAAAATAACCCTACTAGATTTCTCTGCTTTAGAATACAAATACAGTCATTCTTTCTAGTATTTTAATCGTATTCTAACTAGGTTTGCATTTTAAGTTACAGTCTTTATTATTTTGAATATCCTTGTTCAAAGTCAAATTCAGAGATCTGAGACAAAACACAAATTAACAGATGAGGCTGCCTGGCCCTTGAATGCTAACACTGTTTGAAGTCAGTACCTTCAGGAATATGCCTCTGCAGAAATTTGATGCTGAATGATTACCTGCCTTTGCTCTTGTTCACTCTTTCTCTCTCTCTTTTTTTTTTTTTTTTTCCCCCACTGATGTACCTACAAGCTAAAGTGAAACAAAAGGCCGACAGAACCAAAAACCTCCCTGTTTCAGAGACAAAAAGAGGAATCAGAAAGGAAATTTGTATGGTTGTTACTAGATTAGAAACAGGATTCCCAAATCCTCTACCCTGTCTCCCCTTCAGTGCTCATAACAGATTTTAAAGTACAGGACAGAATTCGCAAATTCGCAGATTCAATTAAGCCTGTCCCAAAGATTTCTTAACATAGTATTTCTCTGAGCTAGAAAAACAACTTGACATTTTGAGCTTTGAGTTTCCTGTTAACATTAGTAAAACCCACAAAACCCCCTGTATTTTGCATGCTAATTTTGTGTACAATAACTCAATTTTATGCCACTTAAATTCTAGTCACATTGTATGTTGCTTGCTGGCATTTGCTTTATTTTCACATTTGCTTCAAATAGAAACATTGATTAATTTTTAAAACCATTACACTTTGCTCATTTGTCTTTGGGAAAAATGACAAGCACTATTTTGCAAAAGCTAGAGCAGGAAATAATGCAGGTTTTGGCATAAAAACTTTCCATTTTGAAAACAAAATGGTCAATGATTACACCAATTTCCTTAATTTAATGAGTGTAATGATCCAACAGGAGTAAATGGTGTTAACAAGGTAATGAAGCATTAGTACCGGCACAGTCAGCAGCTCGCTGTCAGATACCAACACTTCACCGCATCTGTTAATCCTAAGCAAAGGCTTGATTTCTACTCAGAGAAAAATAACCACAGTAGGTTTCAGAAAGATACTTGTCATAGGAATGAGAACTGGGATTCAATTGTATTTTAAGGATTCTGTGCAGAGTTATGCAGAAACTGATCTTTTCAAAATAAAGAAAAAATTATTAACTGCTCAAGACTATTCTCAGTAACAAAACCAGAACCCTGGAGCTGGGGTAGCTTGTGCTTGGATGAGCACACCACTATTACAATAATGCTGCCATACTGAAAATGCACATACAATAGAACTTCCACCTCCAGTATGTACCAGAAGCACAGAAGAAAGTGCGTTACATTTTCAATATTCTAAATTTATTTTCTCCAAGCAGAACAGGCCAATTACGAAAACTCACATGGATGATTGAGACAACAGGTTTCTCCTCATCTGCTGAAACAAGTCTTGCTTTAGTCAGACTCAACATGGAGTCTGGAAAGCAGAGACCATTCCCCATTCCCATCTCCCAGCAGCACACTTACCTGCATCTGCGAGGTGAGTAAGGGTCTCTTCCATCACTTCCTTGTGTTCTGAGGTAAGGCACATAAAGAGGAAGTAACACGTGGAATTAAACAGAATCCACATGGTGCCAGTATTTGAAATACCAAACATTTCTTTTGTCTTGCATCTATCGGGCAGAAACATGTAGACACCAACAAAACAACCCTGCAGCTTTGTGAAAACACGTCCTGTATCGCCTTTTCCTTGCACCACCCACTCAGCGCAACTAGACTGAAGACCAACCAGTACTCTACAGGCAGGGAGGAGGGAACTTCTCTTTTGCTTGGTGCGTTTAGCTTCTCGAGTTGTTGGGAAGCACAGATATCCATAGACTGGACAGAGCTCTGGTACAAACTGTTATTTTAACAGGGAAGGCTTTCTGGAGGATCAGGGATGGGTACCCTGCTGCACATGTGAAAGTGAGCTAAGAGGACTGGCAACACGGTGTCTTCAGAGCCAGATGTAGCATCTGCTTCTATCAGAGCTCACTCTGGTTGTAATTTTGTCTGTTCCCACACATACACTATACCATACTGCCATATACTGCTATACCATATTCCATAAGGAATCCAAACGAGCCGAGTTTAGGCAGTTTTGAGAAACGCATAAGCAATTTCTCCCACAACACAGTAAATTACTAGATAGAAACAAACACTGTTGGACAGCTTAGAAAAACATGTTTTCTATTTATTTAAAAATAAGTTTGTAGTTACTACATTGCAGTGACAGTAATTCTTACACATACATTCTAGTTTGTATAAAAGGATTCAAAGTATTATGCATCAAAACTAACATAGAAAGTGTCCACATAACAGTAAAGAAATTTCCAATCCATATGTACAAAAAGAAAGGGCACTGTTATCCTGGTGAGATACTTCAGGTTATAACATGATAATCTAGATTTCTGGAAGGAAAAAAGCCTTGATAAAGCTAAAGAATTATAGTTTTCAAAACTGTTACTCATTACATACAACAGATTCCTGTTTTACATAATTCTGTACAAAATAAGCGTAATTTTTACTCTGAAAATGTGTCAGTTTTAAAATTAACCTTTCTAGGTAATTTACTTGAAGTTGAGCTCCGTTCTATACATGTTGAAACATTATGACAGAATTTAGTTCACGCACGATCATTATCCAGTTGTCCATC